CCCGCCCGGGGACGCTCTCGGCGTAGGGGGAGGCCCTTCCCCAGACCCCAGGACGCCGCCCAGTGGCCCGGAGTCCGACGCAGGAATAGGGATTCCAGCCCCCTGAGCCCCTCTCCCAAGGATTTCACCCCAGTTTACTCATTCAGGAAATTTTTGTTGAGCACATGCTTTGTGCCAGGCTCTGAGTAGACAGCCCTAAACAAAATAGAAAACCGCAACCTCATGGAGATGACAATCTAGTGGAAATAGTAATAAACATGGGATGCGGTGGCTCCCTCCTATAATCTTAGCACTTTGGGAGGCTGAGGTGGGAGGATTGCTTGAGGCCAGGCGTTCGAGACCAGCCTGAGCAACATAGGGAGACTTGTCTCTATGAAAATTTAAAAAAAGAAAGAAAGAGAGAAAAACAGAAAGAAAGAAAAGAAAACCACTTCCATATCACTATGTGACAGCCCTCTCTATCCCCTAATCCCTTCTACAGATAAGGAGGATGAAGCACAGAGAGATTAAGTAACTTGACTAAGAGCAAGCAGGTAGTAAGTGGTGGAGATGGGATTCCAACCACAGGCACTCTGGCTCCAGAGTCAGTGCACCAAATCACTTTATCATATCAACAACTCATCACCCAAACCAAAATAGAGAAACATACTTTAGAAGCAGTAAAACCTACAGATTTGTATGTAGGGCTCCTTCCACATCTTGACCGCCTCTTCAGGTGAGCAGTTTTCCTCCTCTCTCCAAGGCCAGTCCCTCTTTATGAGCCCTGCCTCTCCTCCCCGGCCCCTACCTTCCTTGAGAACTTGCATCCATTTCTGTTTCACTGGCCTCATTCCATCCTCTTGCCATCAACATAGAAATACCCTCTCATCTCTCCTGTGTTGGAATTCGTTCTTTCGTCCTCATCTCCCCACTTCCACCTCCATCACTCCCTCCCCCTTTCCTTTCTCTGTCAAGTTTCATGCAAGGATGCTACATTTGCCACCTCCACTTTCTTTCCTTCTATCAACCCACTATTTCCCTGAAGTAGCTTTTGCTGAGGTCTTCAAGGACATTTTTACTTGACAGCCTTCTCGTTCAAAGTCCCTCCTGTGGTTTCCACTGCATCTTTCCTGGCTGGTTTTCCTTTTTTTTTTTTTTTGGATAGCACTACCTTCAGAGTTTTATTTGCCTTTGGTTCATCTTCCTCCATCCTTTATTTATTGATTGATTGATTGACTGATTGATTGAGACAGAGTCTCACTCTGCTGCCCAGGTTGGAGTGCAGTGGTGCCATCTTGGCTCACTGCAACCTCTGTCTCCTGGGTTCAAGCGATTCTCCTGCCCAGCCTCCCGAGTAGCTGGGATTACAGGCACCTGCCACCACGCCCAGCTAATTTTTTTTTTTTTGAGATGGAGTCTCGCTGTGTCACCCAGGTTGGAGTGCAGCAGCACGGTCTTGGAAATTTTTGTATTTTTAGTAGAGACAGGGTTTCACCTTGTTGGATAGGATGGTCTTGATATCTTGACCTTGTGATTCACACTCCTCGGCCTCCCAAAGTGCTGGGATTACAGGCATGAGCCACTGTGCCTGGCCTATTTATTTATTGAAACAGAGTCTTGCTCCATTGCCCAGGCTGAAGTGCAGTGGCACAATCTTGGCTCACTGCAACCTCCATCTCCCAGGTTCAAGTGATTCTCCTGCCTAAGTCTCCCTCCCTGGTAGCTGGGATTTCAGAAGTGCACCACCACGCCCAGCTACTTTTTGTATTTTTAGTAGAGATCGGGTTTTGCTATGTTGGTTGACCAGGCTGGTCGCGAACTCCAGGCCTCAAGTGATCTGCCTGCCTTAGCCTCCCCAAATATTAGAATTACAAGCGTGAGCCACTGCACCTGGCCTCTCCATCACCCTTTAAATGTGCTCTTCCTCCTATATCCTGATTCCATCTTGAGCCCCTTTCTTTTTTTTCTTTTGCCTACAGCCCAGACGTCTCTGCTAAGCTCCAAAAAAAAGAGTATCCAAACGTCTACTAAATATTTATTTCTGCCTGAATGGCTCATCTCACAGACATTTCAATCTCAACATGTCCTAAACATCATCTTCCTGCCCCAAACTGTTCCTGCTTCAATTGCTCTTAGTTGACATACATTTCTTTTGTTTTTGTATCATATCCTCATATTTAGAGTAGAACCTGACACAAAGAAAGTCTCCAACAGATGTTTGGTGAAGGAATCATTACATTTTCATGGGCACACGTTTGTGTATATGATATCACTTAGAAAACTTTTCCTTAAAAATTACAGAAGTAGGGCAGGCATGGTGGCTCAAGCATGCAGTTCCAGCTACACAGGAGGCTGAGGTGAGAGGATTGCTTAAGGCCAGGACTTGGAGTCTGCAGTGTGCAATGACTGTGCCTGTGAATAGCCACTGCACTACAGCCTGGGCAACATGGCAAGCATCCTGTCTCTTAAAAAAAAACAACAATAACAACAACAAAAAAAACCTTACAGAAAGAGACCATGGCTGTCTTAAGCAAAAATGAAGTTATTTAGAAAAACATAGCAGACTCACAGAATCTTCAGGAGAAAGGAAGAACAGGTGTGGCAAATGGTCATGAACCAAGACACTCACTGAAGACTAAGAAGTAGGAAGCACAACTGTTTTTTTGTTTTGTTTTGTTTTGTTTTTTGAGATAGAGTCTTGCTGTCTCCCCAGGCTGGAGGGCAGTGTCACAATCTTGGCTCACTGAAACCTCTGCCTCCTGAGATCAAGCAATTCTTCCACCTCAGCCTCCTGAGTAGCTGGTATCACAGGTGCACACCACCACGCCCAGCTAATTTTTGTATTTTTTGTAGAGACGGGGTTTTGCCACGTTGGCCAAGCTGGTCTCAAACTCCTGGCCTCTGGTGATCCACCCGCCTCGGCCTCCCAAAGTGCTGGGATTACAGGCGTGAGCCACCGTGCCTGGCCACAATTGTTTTTTAGCAGGAACAATTTGTTCAAGATACCATGATCTCTGGTGCTATACAAGCTGATCACTGCGCTGGAAGATAGCACCTGTTATTAATAAATTCTGATTATACCTTCTACGGGGGTTCACTTCATTATACCTTTCTTTTGCCCCTGCCCACTTTTTTATATTCTTTTAGGGTACAACTTTGATTTTTTTAAAAAAACTGCAAATTGGCCGGGTGCGGTGGCTCGTGCGTGTAGTCCCAGCATTTTGGGAGGCCGAGGCAGGCGGATCACCTGAGTTCGGGAGTTCGATACCAGCCTGACCAATACGGAGAAACCCTGTCTCTACTAAAAATACAAAATTAGCCCGGCGTGGTGGTGCATGCCTGTAATCCTAGCTACTTAGGAGACTGAGGCAGGATAATCACTTGAACCCAGGAGCCGGAGGTTGTGATGAGCTGAAATCGCGCCATTGCACTCCAGCCTGGACAAGAGCGAAACTGCGTCTCAATAAAACAAACAAACAAACAAAAAACACTGCTCATCATGTCTTTCTTTCTTTTTCTTTTCTTTCTTTCTTTCTTTCTTTCTTTCTTTTTTTTTTTTTTTTTGAGATGGAGTTTTGCTCTGTCACCCACGCTAGAGTGCAATGGCGCAATGTCAGCTCACTGCAACCTCCGCCTCCGGGTTCAAGGGATTCTCCTGCCTCAGCCTCCCAAGTAACTGGGATTTCAGGCGCCCACCACCATGCCTGGCTAATTTTTGTACTTTTAGTAGAGATGGGGTTTCACCATCTTGGCCAGGCTGGTCTCGAACTCCTGACCTCAGGTGATCCACCCACCTTGGCCTCCCAAAGTGCTGGGATTACAGGTGTAAGCCACTGCGCCCGGCCAATCATGTCTTATACTATTGTGTAAGTAGACAAGAAAAATAAAACTCTACCAAGGAAGAACCTGAACTTCTGTGTTAAGAGGTGTTTCCTAATAGATCTGGGTTCAAATGCTTCTCCACTTCTTATTAACTTTACATCTCTCTCTCTCTCTGTCTTTTGTTTTTTGAGGTGGGCTCTTGCTTTGTTGCCCAGGCTAGAGTGCAGTGCCACTATCTCTACTCACTGCAACCTCCGCCTCCTGGGTTCAAGCGATTCTCCTGCCTCAGCCTCCCGAGTACAGGCACCTGACACCATGCCCGGCTAATTTTTGTATATGTATACTTTTTTAGTAGAGAGAGGATTTCCCCATGTTGGCCAGGCTGGTCTCAAACTCCTGACCTCAAGTAATCCACCAGTCTTGGCCTCCTGAAGTGCTAGGATTACAGGCATGAGCCACTGTGCCCAGCCTGTTAGCATCTCCCTCTCTCTCTCTCTCTTTTTTTTTTTTTTGACAGGGAGTCTCATTGTCACCCAGGCTGGAGTGCAGTGGCGCGATTTGGGCTCACTGCAACCTC